TCGTGAACATTAGCATTAGCCCAGGTAAAGCTAATAAAATAAGCACATCGTGAACATTAGCATTAGCCCAGGTAAAGCTGATGAAATAAGCACATCGTGAACATTAGCATTAGCCCAGGTAAAGCTAATAAAACAAGCACATCGTGAACATTAGCATCAGCCCAGGTAAAGCTAATAAAACAAGCACAACGTGAACATTAGCATTAGCCCAGGTAAAGCTAAAAAAAGAAGCACATCATAAACATTAGCATTAGCCCAGTAAAGCTAATAAAACAAGCACATCATGAATGTTAACATTATCCCAGTTAATGCTAATAAAACAAGCACATCGTGAACATCAGCATTAGCCCAGGTAAAGCTAATAAAATAAGCACATCGTGAACATTAGCATTAGCCCAGGTAAAGCTAATAAAATAAGCACATCGTGAACATTAGCATTAGCCCAGGTAAAGCTGATGAAATAAGCACATCGTGAACATTAGCATTAGTCCAGGTAAAGCTAATAAAATAAGCACATCGTGAACGTTAGCATTAGCCCAGGTAAAGCTGATGAAATAAGCACATTGTGAACATTAGCTTTAGCCCAGGTAAAGCTAATATAACAAGCACAACGTGAACATTAGCATTAGCCCAGGTAAAGCTAAAAAAAACAAGCACATCATGAACATTAGCATTAGCCCAGGTAAAGCTAATGAAAGAAGCACATCATGAATGTTAGCATGAATGATTCATCACAATAACTGATTCACTGACTCAGCAAAAAGCATAAGGATTCGTACGGTCACCAATGCTCAGTGGAATCGCTAGCTTGCTTTTCCATCTCAGACAGCATGGATTTATTGGACATTGTCGCAGCTCTGGCCAACAAACACATCGTGAACATTAGCATTAGCCCGGGTGTCGATAAGTGCAGCCATGGGTCCAGGAGTTGCGGGACGGATGGTGCCCTTGTGTGGCAAACCTGAAGGGAACAGGTGCTGTGGAATTCAAACAGCATCGATTGACACTGGGCGGCTGGTGCTGAGAGAACAGTTATTGATCCGACCTCAACCAACCCCCCTGGAACATTTCAGCCGCATCGATTCGGCCTCCTCTTTCCCTCACACTCTGTCTCCAGACTCGAATTACCACCCCGGGATGATCATATCAATTACACGAATCAATCAGAAACGTGTTGTTTCATTTCTCTGCCGAAAACCGCCTGACTTGACACAAATGCCCATCTAAACACAACAGGCGTGGATGGGGACGGCGCTCGATTTGACCACGCCGAGTTTGTTTCAAACTTTCAAGCATCTGAGATCAATGCCAAAGTTCCCCATTATATAGGAGAAGTTCATGCAGAAGTCAGAACTCTGTTGCTCGTTCTTGACTCATAACCCAAATGACACACAAGCTAATCATATTTAATTTATATTTTTATATAAAAGACACAGCTTGTCGACATGAGTAACATACTGTAACATACTGTTGAGTAACATACTGTAACATACTGTTACTCGACATACTGTAACTCTTTATATGATAAACATACACTAGCTGGCCACTTTATTAGGTACACCTTACTAGTACCGGGTTGGACTGTAACTCTTTAATTGATAAACATAAACTAGCTGGCCACTTTATTAGGTACACCTTACTAGTACCGGGTTGGACCCCCTTTTGCCCTCGTAACTACCTTAATCCTTTAAGGCAGAGATTTAACAAGGTACTGGAAATATTCCTCAGAGATTTTGCTCCACATTGACATGATAGCATCACACAGTTGCTGCAGATTTGTCGGCTGCACATCAATGATGTGAATCTCCCGTTCCACCACATCCCAAAGGAGCTCTATTGGATTGAGAGCTGGTGACTGTGGAGGCCATTTGAGTACAGTGAACTCATTGTCATGTTCAAGAAACCAGTCTGAGATGATTCGTGCTTTACGACATGGCGCGTTACAGGCATACAGCTTAAACCAGCCTATAGGCTGGTTTGCTGGTTTTAGAGGGGTTTTGGCCATTTCCAGGCTGGAAATAGCTGGAAACCAGTCTGGGAATGGCCAAAACCCCTCTAAAACTAGGCTGGTCAACCAGCTAAAACCAGCCAACCAGCCTAGGCTGGGTTAAGCTGGATTTTTCAGCAGGGCCAGTATATTATTCTGACGGTATGATAACCTTGGATAAAAATATCACAGTTTCACGGTTTTGCGGTAATGTGATTACGGCTCTAAAATATAGATATATGTTTTTTTATGACTGGGTAAAACCAAAAACATTTTATATTTTATTTTATTTTATTTTGAAAAAAAACATTTAAAATATTTTGGAACAGTAAATATGTCAGGCTAAATCATTCAAATGAGTTACTGACTTCTGCCAAAGGGCATTGAATCAACAAGAGGCGACACTCTAGTGCAATATGGGAAACAGCCACTAGATGGCGCAGCAGCCATTTGGAATGAAAACTCCAATAGAACAACAGCATATTATAAGTCTGTAAAATAAACTATTAAAAGTGCTGATGATTGTGATAGTAAGTGTTGTATTGTCGTCTTTCAGGTTGTATCTCAGCTTTAATGCGCTTTTTAAGTAAACAAATAAAAAACAAAGCAGCTGCTCGCCATCGCGACAGCAATAAGATCCAATGGACAGCGGCTTTCACTCCAAAATGGCGGAATCTGGGGCTGTTGCTGGGCGCTGCTGTTGCACTGGAACGTTCTATTGAGTGTCGCCTCTTGGTCGTTCTAAGCTCTTTGCCTCTGCTGTCTTCATTTATTTCAAGAACAGATTTTTTTTTTACAATTTAAAACGTCATCTTAGTCAACTGCTGGAAATACTGTTGTCCTAAAAGACAAAACAAAAAAGTAAATAAAAAACCATACACATACCTTAGGAATGGTACTGCAGAAAATGTTGACGGTTTTAAAACCTTGACTTTTCCAAATCGTGATATACCTTGAAAACGGTTACCATCCCATGCCTAGGGCGCTATCCTGCTGGAAGTAGCCATCAGTAGATGGTCATAAAGGGATGGACATGGTCAGCAACAGTACTCAGGTAGGCTGTGGAGTTGACACGATGCTCAATTGGTACCAATGAGCCCAAAGTGTGTCAAGAAAATCTCCCCCACACCATTACACCACCACCACCAGCCTGAACTGTTGATACAAGGCAGGATGGATCCATGCTTTCATGTTGTTGATGCCAAATTCCGACCCGACCATCTGAATGTCTCAGCAGAAATGGAGTTTTCCAGCATTTAGATGGATTGAGCACAGATAGAAGATTGTATTCCTGCTTAAAACAGCCTGCTATTATAACACCTGTACTCAAATCCAACAGCCACTGCTAAAGCATCACAACATTTCTGACTGGTAAAGCCTTCTACTAATGTCAGTAATAGGGTCATTGCTGAAATTATAGTGATTGCAGATGGCTGTTTAACTTTTATGACTTGGCCTCTGCGCGGCTGCGGTTCAGATGAGTTCAGAGATTACTGTAATCATAGCCTGTTTGGTCATTGCCAGGTAATTGGGAAAGCCATGCATGCCTGAGCCTGCGGCTAATGAACAGTAATTGGACGACAGCGACATTCAATGCAAAGTTGAACACAAACGCTGCATGTGTTCGCTGCGCGGAGACACGAGAGGAAAAAAGGAGGTCGTGTTTTGACTACAGCTCAAGTGTGTTACATGGCGAGCTACTGTACAATCTAGTAACATCAGTAAAGCTGTCCATACGGAGGTAAGCATTCAGCTGCTAGCGTGAAAAGGAACGACATCATACCACCCCGTAGCATTCATTTTAAAGACGAAATGCAACCATACATACTTCTAGCTACATAATTCATGATCTCCAGAAATGTATTTATGGTATCATTATGTATGTAAACAGACCTTTACCTGTTGTTAACTCTTAACAATTGGTTAATAAAATTAACATTTTCTTCATTATAGCTGTCTGAAAATCAATTTTCTTCTCTTTGGATGTCTTCAAAGAGCATTTTGGAGGTGAATTCCTCACAGACGATGGCTCTCGCTGACCCTAAAGTGTCGCGGGCAGACATTGAGGAATGATACTGATGCATCATCAGGCACAATCCAATATGTGCTGTCTGTGGAGCGTCACCTCAGACTTTCAGTCACACTGGGGATATGGCAACCGGTGCCGATTTAATGACAAGGGTCCCAACTATAGCGCTGAAAGACTAAAACGTTATCAGGATGGTGGTGTGCAACATTCTGTTGTCTTATATCAATGGCGGAAACAAGCACAGTTATAATAGCCATTTATGCATGAGAGAGTGACTATATTGTCTTGCCATATGTACAAGGATATTTTTTATAAACAATTTTCCCTGCCTTCATTTAAAAAATAGGAAAAAATAGGAAACACCACTGTAATGCATGTTAAGGGCACGCCAAACCAACAGGTGGTGATAAAACCCTTTTATTTAACTATATTTTGTAAGTAAATTGCATACAAATCCAACCCAGCCTCGTCATGAAAACGTAGTCCCGTGGACATTTCTGGAGAACGTGAAATACGTCCCCGCAGGTATGTATTTTTGCAGTGTTTGTTTTTGCTGCTGTGTGCGCTTTTTTTGCATCTCAAATGTCTCTTGCTAGCGCCGTTTACGTCCGCGCTGTTCTTGCGTAAACCCACCAGAGGCCGCTGTCGAACGACTGAATGATTGACTAGGCGACCGACCAATCGACTGACCCACCCTCCTTCCTTCCCCAAACCTAGCCAATTGAATCGATTGACCCGCCCACCCGCTTACTTCAAGTTTTGGCTAGAAGGAATAATTTTTGATTTTTGCTATTAAAGGTAAGGTTGTTTTGCATTTTAATTACAAGTTTATCTGCACTCAGTTGCAATTAGAGGTGTAACTTACCAAGTTAGGGCTTATTTAGGAGGGCTCGGTTTCGTTTTGCGAACAGAAGCCTTTGTTTGGATCATTAAAGAAGGCACATATTACACATGCACACTTATATTGAGGCTGAAAACACAAACCTTGACTTTGGGCGGGTTCATCCAGTGATGCCTCATGATGCTGCTGGTGGTCATGTTACCCGGCAGAATGACCACATCATTATTGCTGTCCCTGCAGGACAACTCGCACTCCTCTCCTGAGAAAACAAACACACAGATGTAAAAACTCTGAAGAATCGGGGACACTTTATTTGAAGGGGATGTTCATGAGATTTTTGTAATCATGACATCAAATCAGACATCATAGAAATGAGATTGGTAACACTTTGGGCTCTATTTTGACGGTCCATGCGCAAAAACGGAAAGCGCAGGGCGCAAACGCATTCAGGGCGTGTCAGAATCTATATTTGCTAATTTAAAGACGGGAAAATCCACTTTGCGCCGTGGCATGTGGTCTAAAAGGGTTGAGTTTGTTTTCTTAATGAGTTACAGGTGTGTTTTGAGAATAAACCAATCAGAGTCTCATCTCAAATTCCCTTTAAGAGTCAGCTGCGTCGTTCCATAAGTGCATTTGCTATTTGCATGACGTAAAGTAAGTGTAAGTGGAAAAACTGAGCATTTCACAAGCAAACAGTTAACAGTTGACAGTTTTTTTAACATAAAACAGTTAAACAGAGCATCTACTGCATGAGAATGAGAGATAATGGATCTACTTTCACTTTCGCTCTTGGATAGGGAAACCTTTACGCACAGACATTAATTAGTCTATAAATAATTAATTTAGTTTGTTAAGCGCAAAGATTTGTTTCAAAACTATTTCTAAATTCAGTTCTAATTTCCAGCAAACAAATAAATGAACAATAATAATGAAGTGTGCTCAAAAACCAGAGTTATATCCAAACACACATGCTGTGCCCCATATGGACTAAAACCTGACAGGTGGACAAATCTAAGCTTGTTTTTAGTAAAACAAATATAAATATGGATATAATAAATAATACTGCTAATAATAATAACATTATACAAAAGCAAATTGTTATGAATGAACTAAAAAACGCCTCCCGAGATGAAGAAGGCATAAAAGCAGTGATTTTTCATATTTATGTAGGCTAGAAACTAATATTTTTCGTAATATTTTAATCCTTTATATTTATATTCTATATTTATTCTTATTATATCCTATATATATCCTTAATATTTACATTTTTTCATATGTAAAGATATTTGCAGTTATATGATCTTATTCTGCATCCCTAATCTTACCCAATACCTAAATCCAACTACTACCTTACTAACTATTAATAAACTGCTGAGTAGTTTATTAAACTAGTTGTGTCAGTTAATGGTTTGTTAATACCGTGAATTGTGACAAACTAAATTGTTACCAATGTCTCTAATTATTGCTGATTACTTCTAAGGTAACTGTAGGTGAATCTCAGGTCACATTTAGCCATAAAAACAAACATATATGAACACTACGTCAATACCACAATGCTAAAAACACTTGTGCTGATTCATGTTTTGGTGTAAACTGCAGTCTATTTCTTTCAGGATGTGTTGACGAATGAAAGGTTCAGATTTTATATAAATTTTAATATAAATCTTGGGCGAGGCAGTGGCGCAGTAGGTAGTGCTGTTGCCTCACAGCAAGAAGGTCGCTGGGTTGCTAGTTCGAACCTTGGCTCAGTTGGCGTTTCTGTGTGGAGTTTGCATGTTCTCCCTGCCTTCGCGTGGGTTTTCTCCGGGTGCTCTGGTTTCCCCCACAGTCCAAAGACATGCAGTACAGGTGAATTGGGTAGGTTAAATTGTCCATAGTGTATGAGTGTGTGTGTGAATGAGTGTGTGGATATGTTTCCCATTGATGGGTTGCGGCTGGAAGGGCATCCACTGTGTAAAAACTTGCTGGATAAGTTGGCGGTTCATTCCGCTGTGGCGACCTCAGATTAATAAAGGGACTAAGCCGACAAGAGAATGAATGTATATAAATCTTTTTGTAATATTATACATGTCTATACTGCTGCTTTTAATCGATTTAATTTGTCCTTCTTAAATAAAAGTATTAATTTCATTTTTAAAAATGATAATAAGACAAATCCTGATGACTTTAAACTTGGTTCTCTTTCCTCAGCAGTGCAGTGGAGATTACTGTTATTCAGTACAATACACATGGGCTGAATTTAAACAAACAATTTAAGTTAAACATTCCTAAATGTGATTTGCTTGTTTAAACTCAGTAACGTTCAACTTAATTTGTTTATTCGCTGTTTATTTTAGCATATGTTTGAGGTGAGAGTTTGCACCTATGCCGTGTCCTTTCTTGCAGCTGATGCGGATGCTGGGATGCAGGTTTTGAGGTAGAGAGCACTGGCCCTTCAGCTGAGGACACAGGCGGAAACTTCCGGTCCAGTTGCCGTCTTTTCTGCAGCGGATCACATTAGAGCCCGCACCCTGAGAGAGACACACAAACACACACACGCATACACATCAAATATGCTGTATATACAGTGGTACACAGCATAAATAAATCACCCCTATATAAAAAACACCCCCCTTTACAAATGAATATATGTCTGTATTTACTGAGAAATGCATTTATTTATTTATTTATTTATTTATTATTTATTTATTTATTTATTTATTTATTTAGCCATAAGCAGCCAATAAACATTATTTATTTATTATGTTTTTATTATTTTTACTTATTTTTTTATGATTTAATTAATTAATTTATTTATTTTTATATTTATTTTTTTAAATCTATTTATTATATTTTTAATTATTATAATTAATTGTATTTATTTATTTATTTATTTATTTTATTTATTTTATTTTTTTATTTTTTATTTAATTAAATTAAATTACATTTTTATTTTTATAGATTAGAATATAAATGCAAATAATAAATGACAAACTACAAAATGTCAACTTAATTTGATATTTTTTTCATGTTTCTCTTGATTTTCATCTTTATTAAAAATATACATATATTTTTCCCTAACATTAATTTTGATGTGCTTTTTTTTTGGTCCACGATTTGTTATTTGCTTAATTAGCTCTAGTTTTGACTTTGGTAAATCTATTGAATTTGAATGATTCTCTAGCATAATGTCCAAAGTAAAGACAAAACAGCTAGTTTTGCTGATATTTTAAGATTATTAGGCTGAACATAATGAAATGCCATCAGTCTACAGAGATTTCCCAGTATTTCTCTTTTGCAATCGGAAGATCACAATAATTAACCCCTAAAAAGCTAAAGCAAAGCAAACACTAGCAGATTACTATGGTATAAATGCAGAACTACAACAAACCAAAAAGAGAGATCGACTTAGATTGTCAATTACCCTTTTAACAATTATTTGATCAGCTGTAGTTTGAAATTTATACTGAGTTTTTCTTCCCTAAAGACTTATTATGCGGTCTCTGTCGCCATCTTGTGGCGGAACGTCAACTGCCTTTGCTATGCTAAGTATGACAGGCTGATGGCCGCATACCTGCCAACATTTGTATTTGAAAATCCGGAAGACTGGAGAGTGGGGGGGT